TAAGAAGATTTCAAATCAACATTAAGAAATACTAGTAAAATAATATTAGAATTTTCCAATTCTATTATTTTGATATAGCAAAAACTTTTGATTAGCTTAAATTTTTTTAAACATTAGCCCCAAACAGTAATTAAATAATGCCACAATTTTTGACAGGCTCAAAGGAGAAAATGCAATTTCTCCTTGTTTATTAGGAAGACAGTGATAGGAAGGCAATACTGCACAATGGTTTGAGCAAAGTTTGACCTCTGGAGTCAGATTGCTTTGGTTCAAATTCTGGCTTCACCTTCTACTACCTATGTAATTTTGAGCAAGGTATTTAATCTCTCTAAGCATCAAGGTCTTAATTTATAAAATGGTGAACATAATTGTACCTATCTTCTATGGTCTGAATGTTTGAATTCCCCCCAAATTCATATGCTAAAATCCTAACATACGATGGTGATGGAGTTAGGAAGTTATGGTAATAGTATCAAAGGGTAGGGCCTTGGGGGAGGTAATTAAGTCACAAGGTCAAAGCCCTCCTGAACGAGATTTGTGCCTTATGAAAGAGGCCCCAGAAAGTTGCCTTTTTCCTTCTACCATGCAAGGACACAGCAAGAAGCCCTCATCTATGAACCAGAAAACTTCACTGGATGTGGAATGTGCCAGCATCTTGATCTTGGATTTCCCAACCTTCAGAACTGTGAGAAATACATTTCTGTGGTTTATAGGCTACCTAGTTTATGGTGTTTTGTGATAGCAGCCTGAACAGACTAAGTTACCACCTCACTGGATTATTGTATAATTTAGGTAATTTAATGTAAACATGTAAACATACTTTGAATAGTACTTGGCAAATGGTAATGTTCAATAAGTGTTAGCTGTTATCATCCTAACCACCCACTCACTCACCACCACCCACCAGTTACCCCTACAATGCACTATGATCATCCACCATCCATCATCATATGCCGTCATCACCTTTATCACCATCCACCACTCACTATCATCATATCTACCATCTCTAACCACCACCACCTCAACCAACCCCATAACCAACTATGACCATTGCCCAACCATTATATTCCACCATCACTATCATCACCACTCACCACCCACTATCAGAACCCTAATATCAATCACCATCACCCAAATAAACACCCCTATTATCTGCCTTTTGGGGAATATATTAAAACCATAGCACTGGGTTTCCTAAGCCCAGCGTTACTTTGGCCTTCAGGTCACTGCTCATGCAGTTCTTTGACTGGATCTTTGTATTTGGAAACTTGACCCTTAAAAGTTCACCTCTAACATCACCTAACCTGTATCTGTAACATCATCTGCCTATACCATCTCCTATATCCCCTTTATCTTTCATTACTGAGAAGCCAGCCACAAAAGTGGCCAGAAAGTCCCTTTAAATCACCTTTTAAGTACGAGAACTTACATAGGGTTTTGAGATTCCAAATAATTTATTTATTAGAGTTTTTACATTTCAAATGCCCTACCACTTTTTATAAGGATCATAAACAACAATGATAAGTAACATAACTACAGGCTTACTATGTTTCTGACACTGTTAATCTAAGTTTTTCATGAATTATTTAATTTAATCCTCACAGCTCTGTAAGGTACCTATTGTCATCTCTGTTCTACATATTTAAAAAAGCACCGACACTAGGTAAGTTTTATTAACTTGCTTACATTCACAAAGTAAGTAAGTGATGGAGACAAATTTGAACCCAGGATACTCAATTCTCCAGGCCTAACTCATCCATATCACTTTGTTATAATTAAGCCAACCTTCCTCTTCCTGTAGGTATTTGGGAATATTCCAACCTTTCTTTCTTCATACTCTCAAGACTTCTCTTTTTCATACTGCTACAGATAGTCTGCAAATCTATTCAGTTCTAATTTGTTGAATAACTGATCTCTAACCTATAAGCTAAATTAGGGGCATCTCTATTAGACTATTACATATGGCAAAATCAGTATGATCCTTCCCAAAATATGCTTATTAACTTCCATCCAAAACCATTTTCTCTTTATATCCTTGTTTTTTTACTCCCTACCCTCAAATCTCCATGCTTCAGTGTGATATTTGTTCCTTTTCTTTCAACATGGGATCCTCCGCCACCATCAACATCATCATCATCACCACCATCTTGTCCTATAAATTCTGTCTCTCTAATTTCTTTCAAATGTATCTCCTCTAGTCCATTCCTACCAACACCACTATAATTCATAAACTCATTATTCCAATCTGAGTACAGAACCCATCAATAGTACTCATCAGTCTCTCTTCTGTTAAAAAAGTTTCCCAGTTTTCTACACATCAAATTAATACTAAACTTTTCAGCATGAAATTCAGGTTCTCTTCATTAACCACCCACCTGCCCTGTAAGCCTTATCTTCCCCCCACCTTTGAGTTGGAGTCCCATACTGTCGCCCAGGCTGGAGTGCAGTGACACACTCATGGCCACCCCAGCATCGACCTGTGGGCACCAGTGATCTTTCCACCTCAGCCTTCCAAGTAGCCAGAACTATAGGTGCATGATACCACACCTGGCTAATTTTTGATTTATTGTAGAGATGAGGTCTCGGCAAGTTGCCTGAACTGGTCTCGAATCTGTGGGCTTAGGCAGTCCATTTACCTAGGCCTTCCAAAGTGCTGGGATTATAGGCTGAGCCACTAAGCCTGGCCAAGCTTTATCTCTTACCACTGCCATCTGTGTATCCATCCTTTGGACTGACAGATCACTATGTCTTAGTCTGTTTTGTGCTGTTATAACAGAATACCACAGGCAGGTAATTTATAAACAACAGAAGTTTATTTATCTCATGGTTCTGGAGGCTGGGAAGTAGATGATCAAGGGACTGCATCTGATGAGGACTTTCTTGCTGCATCATAACATGGCAGAAGGCATCACATGGTGAGAGAATGTATGTGAGAGAATAAGAGAATGAATTCCTCAAGCCCTTTCATTATCAGTTTTCATCCATTCATAAGGGTGTAGCCTTCGTGACCCAGATGCCTCCCATTAGGCCCTATTTACCAACATTGTTGCATTGGAGATTAAGTTTCCAACACGTCTTTTGGGAGATACACTAAAACCATAGCACTGGGTTTCCTATGCATAACAACTTTGGCCTTCAGGCCACTGTTCATGCCACTTCTTGACTGGATCTTTGATACCTCAAAGCTCACCTTTAATACCACCTCCTCTTTTTCCATCTTCTCAATAGGATATACATTTCCCCTCTTGAAGCCCTTCAGTGTTCTCTCACTGTCTCACTCCATTCAGTTTCTGATTTCTGTCCATATCTGCCCCCCTTAAAAGACTACAAATTATTTGAAAGTAGAAGCTAACATCCTTTGCCAAAAACCAAATTTGGCCTTTATGTTATAGAGACACAATAAGCATTAAATTAAGATCCACATATCTTTCTACTGATGTGCCAATTTACCAGAGCTTGTTGCATCATAAGACTGTAGTGTAGAAAATATTAAAAAAAACATAAAACAACCTGAAAGCAAAGGGGATGGACCAAACATTTTGGTCTAAAGTTTAGTTCAAAATGGTTGTACCTAACCAGCAAAAGCAAGTGTTAGAATTTGGGCAATCTATATAGAAGAATAGTCAGTAGATTCCTTTACTTTCATGGCCCAGGTAGACAGTCCTACTCAATGACTCAAAGAGCTCTTGATCTTGACTGTGAAGGTGGCCAAGATGAATAAACTGGTCCTGCTTTGATCTGGTTTGTCTGCCATACAATCTATTTACATAATTTGGTAAACTGTACAGATTTTTAATATCTACTTTACACACACACACACACACACACTCAAAATTGTCCTAATTGCTACAGAAACTCTGCACTAAATCTTGACATGGGATCATTTGGACAGGAAGTAGACCAGGCTATTAGACCTAAACCTGGCCTCCAGAGAAGAAAATGGAGTTTAGCAAAGCTGTTGATAAGCAGATACTAGGATGTAGAGAATACACAAAGAGAAGCACAGGGAATTGATTAGGAACCTGGATAGTTGGGTCCCAGAGGAACAAAACACAGACATCTTAAAGTCTTCAGTCAGGACAGGGGTAAACCCAGGAGAAGAGAAGTCATTCAAATATTAAGAATACAGTATAGCATGGTGAAGAAAAGGAAGCAGGTGAACTTGGAGTAAAGGGAGACAATGAGAAAAGCATGTTGGAATATGATAATCACATCATGTCAATATATTTTAAGACAAATCCTCATATTTAGAAGAATTGGCATGATTATGTATTAATTGCAATCCCTCTTTGAGATCACTTAACCAGCCCAGTTGTATTTGTTGGCCTGGAATTCCAAACTAAGAGAAGAGAGAGGGATTACAACAATACAAACAAGTGAATTAGTACTGTAATACAAAATCTTGGGAGAAAAGGTACATTTTCAAGGAAGTATTCCACTTATTTTACAGAATATTCAGCACATTTTTCTGGTACAACTAAATAATTTTGATAGAGTTGGAATTCACTACACATGGAAGGTGATTTGTATTAAGAAGAATACGATTTAGCAATGTTTTCTTCTGAGAGTTTGGTTACCTTTTATCGGTATTCAGTTATTCTTGATGTTATTTACTGACTCGTCTAATCACACATTCATTCACACAATAGTCTAAGGATCTAGAGACATCTGTGCAGTTAGTCCTGTGAAACAGGTAAGGTATTAATGACAAAATTAATAAGGTCCCTTTTTTACTAATAGGAGAAGAGACAGTACAGAGGGGACAAGCCCAACCCCAGGTGGTGAATTTCTTGCTGGATCTGGGACTGAAGCTCAGTGCTCTGTTCAATGGATTAATCCTTGTCTGGCCTGATTCTCCCTGATGTTTCTCTCGCCAGCCACCAAACCCCCAAAGAATCTATATTATTTTAAAATAAGAAACAAAGGAAAGGACTCCCCTTTCCAGGTACCCAGGATCTTGCCGTCCTGGGTATGAAAGGCATGGAAAACATGGGACTCACTGTTCACGAAGACAGCAAACCTCAGGAAGGACAGGTAGCGTTCCCCTTCAATAGGGTTCCAGTTGACATCAGGGTATCCTTTGGCCAGAAGCATGGGGCAGCTCTGCAGGCCACAGCCTGCCAGGTAGGTCACCACCTGCCAAGAACAGTACAAAATTAAGTGTCCACTCATTCCTATTATGATGGCTACTATTAAAAAAACCCAGAAGCTGACAAGTGTTGGCGAGGATGTGGAGAAGTTGGACCCCTTGTGTACTGCTGGTGGGAGTGTAAAATGGAGAAGCCACTGTGGAAAACAATATGGCAGTTCCTCAAAAGATTTAAAACAGAATTACCATATGATCCAGTGATTCCACTTCTGGGAATGTACCCAAAATAATTAAAATCAAGGTCTCGAAGAGATATTTGCACAACCATAATCAGAGCAGCATTTTTCACTATAGTTACAACGTGAATGCAACCCAAGTGGCCACTGATGGATGAATAAGCAAAAGGTGACATATACATACAATGGAATATTAAGTTTGAAAGGAGGGACATTCTGACAAGATGCCACAACACGATGAATCTGGAGGACATATGCTAAGTGAAATAAGCCAGTTACAAAAAAGATGAATATTGTATAATTCCTCTCATGTGAGATAGAGTAATAAAAACCATAGAGATAGAAAGTAGAATGGTGATTTACAGGGCTGGGAGAATGGGGGAACGAAGAATTATTGTTAAAAGGGAACAGAGTTGCAGTTTTACAAGATAAAAAGAGTTATGGAGATGAATGGTGGTGATGATTATACAACATTATGAAAGTATTTAATATCAGTGTACTTAAAAATGATTAAAATGGTGAATTTTATATTATGCATATTTTGTCACAATAAAAAACTGAAAAAAGCCATACATATATATCAAAGGCAAAGAAAAGGAGTGATCAATTTTTTAAAATGAGATAGCTGAGGGGCTTTCATTTCCCTAGAAGCTAGAAAGAACCCAAGACTTTTGAAGTAAATAATTCACTAGGTTTATAACCAGAACCTCTGATCCATTTTTGTTTGCAAGTCATTAACAAGACTGATTATCACTGTTATGTAGGAACACACCACGTACTGTCAGTTCCTGGGTTTTCCCAGTTTTGGTAAGAGGCAGTTGTCACTTAAAAATAAGCCCAACTAGGGCACATTTGGGGAGAGAACAGTAGAGAGAGAGAAGGGCCCACTGTGGGCTGTCCATGTTCAGTTGGCCATGATATTGCAAGGCCAGAATGTTCAGTCACTGATGGACTCTGATGGGCCCTTGAGTAATCAGGGTCCCTACTCAAGATACGCATCAACAACAGGGGTCCAAAGTCAAATGCCAAGATGCTAAGGTCGGGATGGTCCGAAAAGAAGTTGCAGCCCATTAAGGACTAGGATTGGTAGTGTTCTCCTTGCTTCCAGGTTATCAGACACTTATCACAAGATCTGTACTGGGATCTTATAGAGGATTTGAGATTCTATCCTACTTCTCAGCAGGTGTCAAGCAAAAAGCCTGGCAAATAGACCTTTGTTTAAAATGCAGTTGCTATTCTAATTTTACCTTTGATGTTTTATGTATGCAGGGAAAAGAGGAAAATCCACTGTGCTGCAAAATCCTCAAAGTCAGGAATGGTGGTTTAAAAAAAAAATTAAAAAAAAAAATTAAAAAAAATTCCCAGGGCCTGGCACATAGTAGGTGCTCAACAATGTTTGTTAAATAAAGAAGTCATGTATTTGCTGATATTGAATACTCTAAGTTATCTTGCAAGTGTAATAAATCTAAGGCAAAACTCAGTAGCATCTATTATCACATTTTTACCTTTTTAAACCACTCGAGATAGTATTCTGCTTAGAGTTCAGATTTGACTTTATCTGAAAAAATGTCAGGGAAATGTCAGTAGGGCCAAGATTAGGCAAAGTTTTCAGGGCTACTGGTGCAGGACATTTCACTGGCCAGGAAAATAACTGCCCTTGAGTTAGCGTGTGTGAATGGGTGTATGTGTGTGTTGGGGTGGTGCTGTTGCTCAGTCCTAATAGACCTAATTTCTGTTGTGATCAATAGAAGCGAAAAACTTCAGCACTTATCAGTTCTTTGCAGTTTTCTCCTGTGAGCCAAACTTGAGTAATTTCCCAACATCCGTTTGAATAAAGTCTATGGCACGGTGCTAAGCCACTCCAGTCACTTCTAGTGGGCGGCAGACCTTATCTCTCTTTACAGATTTCCCTAAGCGCCATTTCTCCCCTCTCCCAGCTTGCTAGCTGCACTTATCACACCTGACACCTTCCAAGGGAGGTTTGGTGTCTTCTTTGAGCACATCATTTCAAAAGATGAACTGAGGCTGAGAACTGGGTATGGAGGTCAAAACCTTGTGATACTGCCTGGTTGAAGACCCATTAGCTGCTTTCCACATACCACATCGGTTATCATCTCACCACCTAAAACACCGAGCTCTTTGTTGCCATTCAAATGCATGAATGATTGAAGTTGTCTGAGGGCTGTCCCACTAGAAGCAGAGACCATGGATAGACATGACATTTAGGGAATCACTATCATGCAAGGCACTGGTAGGGGCATGGTGATTGAGTCTTGGGTGTGTGTGTGTGTGTGTGTGTGTGTGTGTGTGTGTGTGTGTAGGGGGTGGGGAAGGTCATGTCCCTTTAACACAGGCCTGACGGCCTAGAGGAACAACTTCTCAAATTTCCCTCTGGTCATTTTCATTTGCTCCTCTTACAGCTAGGAAGGCCTGTTAAAGTTAACCCCAGTTATGTCGGACTGATGATATTCTCCTAACAGAACTTCAAATACTAGGGTTACTCTACTATGGTGTTGTGTTTTTTGATAAATATATTTGACAAGCTCTGTAAACAGATCCTTTCCCTGACTCCCCCTTTGAACTTAACGGTTTAGTAGAGACCCAATGAGGTCCAAAAGTCATGTTTATTGGTTCTGAAAAATAATAAAAATGATTTTACTTACATTTTTTGTCTCCTGCAAAATATCACTAAAAATTTATCATTAAAAAATTCTCAGCTGGGCTCAG